ACCCTGAACTCCAGCCTTATAGGGGGAACCCCTATTCAGAAACCCCTCTCTGCTAGCAAAAAGCTTTCTTCTTTTGCTTATTAAACTTTCACTCCAACCTCACTTTTGTGTTCGTACTTTTTAATTTTCATAAAAATAAAACAAAAACCTCCAAGTGTTATCTCAAACAAAAGAAAACCTGTTAAATCTTGTTGCATTGCTAAAACTACAACAGAACTACTCTAGGAATATACCAGGAAAGGCAAGAGAATTCATAGTCCCTTTAAAGGAAGCAAATTGCTCCTGCAGGACCTGGGAGACAGCCCAAATATTCTGAGTGCCCAAACTGTAAAAGTGGAAAAAGGGGCTTTATAAGCTCCCAAATTTATAAAACAGTAACTATTAGACCTAAGAAATTAAATAGACAGAAACATAATAATCGTGGGGGACTTCAATACTCCACTGACAGTACCAGACAGGTCATCAAGAGAGAAAGTCAATAAAGAAAAAATGGATTTAAACTATACCGTGGAACAAAGGGGCTTAACAGCTATTTACAGAACATTCTAGCCAAAAACCACAAACTATGCATTTTATTAATCAGGACATGAAACTTTCTCCAAGACAGAACATACGATAGGCCACAAAACAAGTCTCAATACATTTAAGAAAACTGAAATGTTATCAAGTACTTTCTAGGACCGCAGTGGAATAAAATAGAAAATTAACAACAGCAAAAATCTTTAAAACCAGTCAAATACATGGAAATTAAATAACCTGCTTCTTCAACAATAAAATCAAGATAAAAATATTTTTTAAATTTAATGGAATGATACGGTGACAAAATCTATCAAAACCTCTGGGATACAGCAAAGGCCATGCTAAGAGGAAAGTCCATAGCTTTAAATGTCTACATCAAAAAGTCTGAGAGAACACAATAGACTATCTAAGGTCACGCCTCAAGGAACTAGAGAAACAAGAACAAACGAAACCCAAACCCAGCAGAAGAAAGGAAACAATCAAGATCAGAGCAGAACTAAATAAAAAAAAAAAAAAAAAAGAAAAAAAAAACATAAATCTGGTTTTTTAAAAGATAAATAAAATTGATGGACCATAAAAAAAAATAACTAAGAAAAAAAGAGAGAATATCTAAATAAGTTTAATTTGAAACAGGAAATATTACAACTGACATCACAGAAATATAAAAGATCATTCAAGGCTACCATAAACACCTTTACACACATAAACACAAAAATCTAAAGGAGATGAATTAATTCCTGCATATGTACAACCCTCCTAGCTTAAATCAGGAAAAATCAGAAACCCTGAACAAAAAAAAAAAATCGTAATTTAAAAAATTAACAATAAAAAAAGTACAAGACCACAAAAAAAAACTACACTATTCCACAAGACAGATTAAGAGGGAACCTTCCATAATTCATTGTATGAAGCCAGCATCACCCTAATACCAAAACCAGAAAAGAACATAGCCAAAAAAGAAAACTACAGACTGATATCCCTAATGAATACAGATGCTAAAATCCTTTAAAAAAATACTAGCTAACTGAATTCCAACAACATATCAAAAAGGTAATCCACTATGATCAAGTGGGTTTTGTATCAGGGATGCAGGGATGATTTAACATACACAAGTCAAGAAACATGATACACTACATAAACAGAATTATAAACAATGATCATCTCAATAAACACAGAAAAAGCATTTGACACAATCCAGCATTCCTTTATAATTAAAACCCTCAACAAAATCTGCATACAAAGGACATATCTCAATGTAATAAAAGCCATCTATGTCAAACACACAGCCTACATAACACTGAACAAGGAAATTTTGAAAGCATTCTCTCTGAAAACAGGAACAAGACCAGGATGTATACTTTCATCATTTTTATTTAACATAGCACTGGAAGTCCTAGCCAGAGCAATCAAATAGGAGAAAGAAATAAAGGGCATCCAAAAAAAAAAAAAAGCTGTCACTATTTGTTGATGATATGATTGTATACCTAAAGAACCATAAAGACTCCTCCAAAAACCTCCCAGAACTGACCAGCGAATTCAACAAAGTTTCTAGATACAAAATTTACGTACACAAATCAGTCACTCTGCTATATACCAGTAGTAAAAAAAAAGAGAATTAAATCAAGAATGCAACTTTTTTTTACAATAGCTGGAAAAAAAAAAAATAAAAATATACCTAAACAATGACATGAAAGACCTCTACAAGGAAAAAAAAAAAACACTGCTAAAAGAAATCACAGACAACACAAACGAATGGAAACACATCCCATACTCATGGATTGGTAGAATCACTATTGTCAAAATGACTACATTGCCAAAAGCGATCTAGAAATTCAGTGTAATTCCCATCAAAATACCAACATCATTCTTCAAAAAAAAAAAAAAGACAATCCTAAAGTTTACATAACTTTATACTATAAAGCCATAAAAAAAAAAACAGCATGGTACTGATCTAAAAATAGGCACATAGACCAATGTAAAAAAAAAAAGAACCCAGAAATAAAACCAAATACTTACAGCCAACAGATTTTTGACAAAGCAAACAAAATCATAAAGTGGGGAAAGGAAACCCTATTGAACAAATAATGAAAAAAAAATTAAGCAAGCCCATGTAGAGTAAAACTGGAAACTCATCTCACAACAAAAAAAAAAATAAACTCAAGATAGATATAAGACCTAAAACAGTAAAAATTCTAGAAGATAACATTCGAAAAACTTTTCTAGACATTTGCTTGGGCAAAGACTTCATGAACAAGAACCCAAAAGCAAATGAAACAAAAACAAATATATACAGATGGGGCTTAATTAAACTAAAAAGCTTCTGCAGAGCAAAAATAATCAGCAAAGTTAACAGACAACCCACAGAGTGAGATCAAATCTTCACAATCTATACATCTGTCAAAGAACTAAGATCCAGAACCTACAAAAAACTCATACAAACCAGCAAGAAATAAAAACAATCTCATAAAAAAAAAGGCTAAAGATATGAATAGACAATTCTCAAAAGAAGATATACGAATAAAAAAAAAACATACGGAAACATGCTCAACATCTCTAATTATCAGAGTAACGCAAATTAAAACCACAATATGATACCACCTCACTCTTGCAAGAATGGCCAAAATTTAAAAAAAAAAAAATATATAAGAGGTGTTGGTGGGGATGCAGTGCAAAGGGAATAATTTTACACTTCTGGTGTGAATGTAAATTAGGACAACCACTCTGAAAAACAGTGTGGAGTTTTTTTAAAGAAGTAAAAGTTGATCTATCATTTGATCTAGTAATCCTACTACTAGGTATCTATCCAGAGGAAAAAAAGGCATTATATGAAAACAGACACTTGCAAAAAAAAATATAGTCTATGTGCCTATTTGTATACCAGCACCATGCTGTTTCGGAAAAAAAAACTTTATAGTATAGTTTAAAGTCAGGTAATGTGATGCCTCCAGATTAAAAAAAAAGGCTTACTCTTGCTTTTGCTATGTGGAATCTAAAAGAAAATTTTATTACTTTTGATCACATCAATTAACCTGGAGGACAGCATATTAGCTGAAATAAGCAAAAAAAAAAAAGAATAATATCTCATGACCAAATAACATATTATTACTCCCTTTTACCTCCCTCGAGTAAAGTGAAAAAGGTTAAAGTTAATGGTATAATAACACTTCAAAAAAAAAACAATAGTCTTAACATGTTAAAGAAATGTTTAATTACAAAATTAAAAAAAAAAATAATCTAAAAATTTTTAAACGTACTGCATTTATAGCATAAAAGTAAAAAAAAAAAAATGATTCACTAGTAATTTAATTACATTTAATTTAAAGTAAAATTAAAAATGCTTTTCTCTCACTATGATGCAAAATATTACTGTGAACACCTACCTCATGTATCACTCAACATGAAAAGTAAACTAACAAGGGCCTCTGCACTTAGATTTTCATCATGAACCTACATTTTCATGCCCATACTCTTCCACAGAAAAAATCATAAATAAAAAAAAACTAATAAAAAATAATCTCTCCTATACCTGACACAGCAACAATTTATCACATGCTTTCACATGTGAATACAATAGGAATGAAGATAAAGTAATTTGAGGGTTGAATTTCATTATTTACTTTTCAAATAAGCTATATTTTTTTCAAGAAAAAAAGTATACTTTCAATGTAATTATAACTCTCCAAAGAATCTTCTACTCCTTCTAAAGTTATTTACAAATAATCTAACAACTTATAGATTTTTTAATACTTAACACTCTGTTTTAGTGTAATGTCTAAAGTGTCAGTGCCTTAGTTATTTCTACTGTAAATTATTTAAAAAAAAAAGACTCAATTTTGGATTAAATATTTTTCATATTTACTGCATCTGCAAAAAAAAAATTCAATATAAAAACACATTTCAATATAAACTCGTGTTTTCTACTCAAAAAAAAACAAAAAAAATGTTTTTCCAAATTCATTACATTTGCAGGATTTTTCAAAAAAAAAAATTCCCTGATGTTGAACAAAGTTTGAGCAACTGCTTCTGCATTTTTCTCTAGCACAAAATGTGTACAATAAGACTTGTAATACAAGTAAAGGTACTACAACCCTTCTACGCTCCTTATATTTGTTATGTTTGTCTTCAAAATAAATATGCTTCTTCACGTTAAAGTGTTATATTTTCTGAAATTTCCTGACAGTAATTGCATTTATAATGCTTTTATTAAGTATAAACTCTCTGGTGTTAAGATGTGAAAAGATATCAATGACTTTTTCACATTCTTTATACTTGTACAATCTTTCTCAAGTAAAAATGCTTTCCTGTGCAATAAGATGTGAGTATTGGTTAAGTTTTGTCACATTCTTTACACTTATAAAATTTTCTCCAGTATAAATTATCTTACCTACAAGCAAGTGTAACAATCATTGGAAGGCTTTGTCAAATTCTTCACATTTTTAGGATTTCTCAACAGGATGGTTTCTAAAAAAAAAAGAAAGGTTTTAGGTATTGTCAAAATTATTGTCACATCTTTCAGGAAAAAAAAATTTCTCACCAGTATGGATTTTCTTATGTCTAGTAAGGTGTGAGGAAAAAAAAAAAGCTTTGCCACATTCTTCACATTTGTAGGGTTTCTCTCTAGCATGAAAAAAAAAATGATTAGCAAGAGTTGCAGGCCAGTTAAAAACATTGCCACATTCAAAAAAAAAGTAGGATTTTTCTCCAGTATGAATTACCTTATGGTTAGTAAGGGTAAAAAAAAAAGTAAAGCCTTTGCCACATTCTTCACATTTGTAGGTATTCTCTCTAAAAAAAAATCTCTTATGTCGAGTAAGGCTGGAGCACCCATTAAAAGCTTTGCCAAAAAAAAAACATTTGTAGGGTTTCTCTCCAGTATGAATTCTCATATGTTCAGTAAGGTTTGAGGACTGTATAAAAGCTTTGCCGCATTCTTCACATTTGTAGGATTTAAAAAAAAAATGAATTTTCTTATGTCTAGTAAGGTTTGCAAACTGGTTAAAAGCAAAAAAAAATTCTTCACATTTGTAGGGTTTCTCTCCAGTATGAATTTTCTTATGAAAAAAAAAGTTTGAAAACTGGTTAAAATCTTTGCCACATTCTTCACATTTGAAAAAAAAAAATCCAGTATGAATTCTCTTATGGTTAGTAAGGGTTGCAAACCAGTTAAAAAAAAAGTGACATTCATCACATTTGTAAGGTTTGTCTCCAGTATGAATTATAAAAAAAAAACTAAGGATTGAGAATAAACTAAAGGCTTTGCCACATTCTTCACAAAAAAAAAATTTCTCTTCAATATGAATTTTCTTATGTTTAATAAGGGTTGAGGAAAAAAAAAAGGCTTTGCCACATTCCTCACATTTGTAGGGTTTCTCTCCCATATGAAAAAAAAAATGTTTAATAAGCTCTGAGAACCAGTTAAGAACTTTGCCACATTCAAAAAAAAAGTAGGAATTCTCCCTAGTGTGAATTCTTGTATGCTGTGTTAGGTGTGAAAGCATGCAAAATGATTTGCCACATTCTTTACATTTGAAAAACTTCTTTCCAAAAAAAAATTTCTTATGACTGTTTGAAAATTTACGAAAGACTTTCACATATTTAAAAAAAAAAAATATTTTGCACTGGGTAGTTGTCAAACATGGGTTAAGTTCATTATAACCTTCTTTGAACACCTTAGACTCATCCACACTTTTACAGCTTATTCTTAATTGTAAATTCTCATGTCCACATTTTCCGTATCCTCTCAGTATCACTTTTTGAAAAGAATCTTTTATACTGTGCTCTGGCCAAAGGTCTTCAGTGAAATGAGAATATATAAAAAAAAAACATAAAAATAACAAATTACTCCACTTCCTAGACTCCGATGAATAAAAAAAAAAAATCAAATCTATAAAATTACACAAACTACATAAGCAAAATACAAAAAAAAAAAACCAAAAAATCCTAAAAGTAAAAAAAATAAATAAATAAAAATGTACAAAAAAAAATCAACAAATTAGGATACACACAATGATATTTATAACAAACACATAAAAAAAAAAAATTTCAAGTCACAGACAAGAAGAGAATCTTGTGAGTTGCAGTATAAAAAAAAAATGTCATTTACAAGCATAGTCTTTTTAAATAACCAGTGAATTTGTAAAAAAAAATTTGCAGGCAAGAAGAGAAGTGTGTGATATAGTCAAAGTCATGAATACCAAATGAGAAAAATACCATCAGCAAATCTGTCCTACAAAATGGAGGAAAAAAAAAAAAAATCCAAAATAACCACATACTGAAAAAGTATATTGGCACTGCAAATTAAAAAAAAATAAAAGATGCTGAAAGCAGTTTCTTCCACTGAAAATAACATGACAAAAAAAAAAACATTATTATATAAAAATACGTAACTTTATGAAAAAGATATGCATAAAAAAAAATAGAATTCCTTAACATTATTATAATGGTGCAGAAAACGTTAATTAAAAAAAAAAATTTGAAAGATATTAATAAATATACAACATAAAAGAAGAACTAGCAAAAAAAAAAACATAAAAGAAATAACTAGCAGCATTAATAACAAAGTTTGTATAAAAAAAAAAATATACAAAAGAAAATAGGAAGCAAGTGAAAGCATTTCAATACAAAAAAAAAAAAGACACCAAGAATGACAGAAAGAGAAAGTCAGAGACAAAGGTAAAAAAAAAAAATAAAACAATAAAATAACATTAGTAAGTCTTTCTCTTTCAGAAAATAAAAAAAAAATATATATATGTAAAATATATATGTAAAATTAACTTTCCAATCAAGAGACATACTTTCATTAAAGGGATTATTAAAGAATTTTAAGGCCAGGCATGGTGGCTCACGTCTATAATCCCAGCACTTTGGGAGGCTGAGGAGGGCAGATCAAGAGGAAAAAAAAATGAGGCCATCCTGGCTAACACGGTGAAAACCCGTCTCTACTAAAAAAAAAAAAAATTAGCTGGGCGTGGTGGTGGGCGCCTGTAGTCCCAGCTATTCGGAAAAAAAAAGCAGGAGAATGTCGTGAAACCGGGAGGCAGAGCTTGCAGTGAGCCAAAAAAAAACCACTGCACTCCAGCCTGGGCGAAGGAGCTAGACTCCGTCTCAAAAAAAAAAAAAAAAAGTTTTTTAAAAACCAAGATCCAACATGCCTTTTTACAAAAAAAAAAAAAGATCTAATGATAAACAGAGACTGAAAGTGGCAAGACAAAACTAGAAAAAAAAAATAAATATGAATCAAATGAGAGAAGAGGTCAAAATATTACACAAAAAAAAAAAAAAGTCAACTGTCGTATTTTATGAAATATACTTGAAGTCAAACTCCAAAAAAAAAAAGAAGAATTTTATTTTATTTTTTTGAGATGGAGTTTTGCTCTTGTAAAAAAAAATGGAGTGCAATGGTGAAATCTCGGCTCACTGCAACCTCCACCTCTAAAAAAAAAGCGATTCTCCTGCCTCAGCCTCCCTAGTTGCTGGGATTACAGGCGAAAAAAAAAACACCCAGCTAATTTTTTGTATTTTTAGTAGAGACGAGGTTTCACAAAAAAAAAAGGCTGGTCTCAAACTCCTGACGTCAGGCGATCCACCCACCTCAGCCTCCCAAAGTGCTGGGATTATAGGCATGAGCCACCACGACTGACTCACAAAGAAAAAAAAAAAACAATAATAGATTCATTTGCCGGGAACCAATGACAAATCTGTATAAAAAAAAATTTGTGTGTGTGTGTGTGTGTGTGTGTGTGTGTGTGTGTGTGTGTAAAAAAAAATCACATTAAGTTTCCAAATATATAAAGCAAATATTGTCAGAATGAAAAAAAAAAATAGAGAGCAATATAACTATAGTAGAATATTTTAATACTTCACTTAAAAAAAAAAAGATTTTAAAAAGACAAAATATTGGTAAAGAAACAGAGGACCTGAAGGGAGCATAAAACAATTATTTATAACAGAGGCATAGAGAACACTCCTCAACAACATCACAATAAACAGCCTTCTCAATACCTCCTACAACATTCTCCTTGATAGACAAAAAAAAAGACCAAGAAAGAAATTTTAACAAATTATTTAAAACTGAATTTTTATAGATTACTTTCTATGACCAAAATGAGAGTACAGAACAGTAAGAAGAAAAAACTAAAAAAAAAACAAATACATAGAAATTAAACACTACATTCTTGAACATGCTTGTTGAAATGTTAAAATAATTCATGCTGTGAAGATGTCCATCCTGCTCAATGTAATTTACAGACTTAATGCAATGTTGTTCAAATTTCTCATTGCATTTTTGAAGAAACAGAAAAAAAAAACCCCAAAGTATATAAAGTCTTAAGAGATAAGAGTACCCAAAAATCAAAAAAAAAAAAAACAATTTTAAAGGCATTACAGTTTCTGATTTTGAAACACATTACAGAGCTACAGAATTATAACAATTTGGTATGAGTACAGAAGTAAAAATGTATACTAGTAGAACAGAATGCGGCACATATATAAACTTTCTCATATACGATCATATAAAAAAAAAACATACCTGTAATTATTGCAGCATTGTTACTGAGAGCCAATAGGTAAAAGCAGTGCAAATTTGTCACCAAATTACTCAGTAGATATAATTTAAAATATAAAAAAAAAAAATATCACCTAGTATTTAAAAAGCACAAAATATTCTAACAACTATAAAAAAAAAAGACATTGTGCAAAATAAAATAAGCCAGTCACAAAAAGAGAGATTGTATGAGATATATGAAGCAGTTACACTCTTAGAGAAAACAGAGTGGTGTTTGAAAAGTGCCAGGAAATGGGTAAAATTCATAGTTTTTTAATGGGTATTGATATTTAGCTTTGCAAGATAAAAACATTCTAGGAATATGCTGCATAACAATGTCAATATAATAAAAAAAAAATAAATATTTAAAAATATTCTATTGTAAATGTTATATGTTTTTGACAAAAAAAAATAGACAATACCTAAAAGAGACACAGAGTTATGACAGTTTCTACATTATCTTTAAATAGAAAAGTTTTTCTCCCACACAAAAATAATACAGATTCATGAATAAATAGATGTTGAAACTAGGAGAATTTCTATGACTGCTCACCTAGACAAGATTAAAAAAAAATTCACAACAAACCTATACCAGAAATATAAAAAGAACAGGGAAAATAAAAAAAAAGGTAAACACAGAGATTGTTATATTGGTAGTAGACATATGGCTGATAAAAAAAAAACTTTGTTCGACACTGTCTTAAATTTTACAGAGTTAAATATTGGCAAAAAAAAATATAATATAAACTAAAAAACCAAAACAATTAACTCGTTTGAGGTGAAAAAAAAAAAAATATGTAACACAAAAATATAAAATTCCAAAAGAAAATTAAAAAAAAAAAAATAAAACTTATTGGACACCATCAAGTACATCAATAAATTCATTTAAAAAAAAAAAGAAGAAGAATGTAGGGAAAAAGTAATGTAGAGGTTACTTGTAGACAAAAAAGCCTGAGAACTTCCCAAATTTTGATGTAGCAATAAAATTCCTAACCAATAATACTTGATTCAAGATTAGTTTACTTTAAAAACAGATAAAAATAAAGACTTTTCAAAATAAAAGGTGACAGTGTTATGATTCATTATGACTAGCACAGTTCTACATGAAGGGCTACATAGTGACCTGGCAAAGTGGATTATGCCTGTAATCCTATATCTTTAGGAGGCCAAGGCAGTAAGATAACTTGAGACCAGGATTTCAAGATCAGCCTGAGCAACATAGTGAGACTCTGCATATAAACACACAGAAATGCTAAAATGACTACATAAAAAAAAAGAAAAAAAAATGATGCTGGACAGCATCATAAAACTATATTTAAATAAAAAAAAATTAAATGTCAATATACACACACATATAGAATTCTTTACTCTCATAAAAAAAAAACATAAAACCTTTAAAGTTATTCTATATAAAGAGAAACTAAAAATAAATCTGCATAAATCTGTCGATACCCAATAAAAAATAATAGTTTTTAACATCAATAAAAAAACTGGAAAATATAATAGTTTTTGTATTAAATTGAAGTTGTTATGAAATAAAAAAAAATTGTTTTAACTTTAAGATGTTTTATGTAATCTCCACTTTTCAAGATAATTACATTGTACTGTAATACCTAACCTTGTTTTTAGACTCTCCCTTAATCACCTAGCCTTGTTTCCACATGAATAGGCTGTCCCTTAGCTGAGAAAGCCAGACCAACTCCATTTGGCTCCTTCATTTACAAGGCTTCAAGGACTCCTTACCCCCCCTCCCCGTCCTCAAGGAGTTAACTTGTGTAAGCAGACTCTCAACATATCAGAGTCCAATTAACTGATAAGGTACTGAAGCAAGCCACGTACTAAGTTCCCAGGATTTTGCTCAAAAAAAAAAACCATAAAGCCTTGAGTTTGTGTACGGCAGAATCCCCATATATAAAAAAAAAAAAAATATTTAGAGCCCCTGCACCTGGAAACTGTTTGTTGCTCTGTAAAAAAAAAACTTTTTAACTTCTTTACATATTTTTACTTCTGTAGAATTGCTGCAAAAAAAAAACCCCTCCCCTTCCTAACCCGAAGTATAAAACAAAATCAAGCCCCTAAAAAAAAACCAAGAGAATTTTGAGCAGTTGGCCGTCTCTTGGTCGCCGGCTAATAAAGGACTCTTAAATTTGTCTCAAAGTGTGGCATTTCTCTCACTCACATACAACAGTATTTCCAGAAAGTATGTGAAATAAAATTTGAAAATAGTCAAAGCATGTCACAATAAACTTAAACAAAAATTAGCAGAGCATGCT